TTTCTACTACCAGTGCAAATGAATTGGTGGGTGGTTTTTTTTTTGTTTTAATTTATGGGTTTTTTAATTGATTTTATCTGCTGGATTATGAGTTGCTTCGTAGACAAGACAATGGTAGGAAAGTTTTGGAATTTAAGGTCACTTAATGAGGAAATTTTTTAGTTTTTCTCTTTAATGTGAGGTTTTTGGATTGAATTTGGTGTGGATTTTGTTTCATAGTTAGCTTCTTTTACTCAAATTCAGTTCTTCCTTAGAGTCTCTCCTTGTAGCTCAAGCCAAGTTCTGGGCTTTGCTTTGACTTCAATTCATTGAGGATGAAAAGAAATTCACTTAGAGAAATTTGGGTTCATTTTGGTTTTATTTTTAGTTGTAGATGTTTTAATTCACTAGTAAACTATGTTTTAAGAGGTAAGGCATAATAAATGGTTTAAATTGGGGCTGGTTTAAACGCATATGAGTTAATGTTGGTTTATATTTTGGTAACATGATGGCTTATAGTTTATGTTTTAACAGAATGATTCAAATGGAAAGCGGATGAAATCGTCGTGGACAAAGAATGAAAATGCAGATTCTAAAACTGAGGTGGAAGCAAGTTCTGCAGCTGGTAGCAAGCCAGAACAGTCTAGTAAACCTGCTGAACCGCCCAAGCAAGACTATATTCATGTCAGAGCCAGAAGGGGTCAAGCTACGGATAGCCATAGTCTGGCTGAAAGAGTAATTCACTTAAATCTTATTTAATTTGCAATTTTCAACTTAAAAACTGAGAAATGTAACTTTCATACTCTTAAACAAACTGTAGATCCAGATTCATGGGTCTTACTGGTTCAGGTGATAATGTGAGTAGTAAAGCAGAGTGGTTTGAGCCCTTTTGAAACATGCTGTTAGAATAAGTTTTAATTTGCAGGCCAGGAGAGAGAAGATTAGCGAGAGGATGAAGATTCTTCAAGATTTGGTCCCTGGATGTAATAAGGTATTTATCATAGTTATCACTATCGTACGATACGCCATACATATCACATGATACGATACGATATGATACTAGTAGAAAACGACATGTATTTATGGTTATGTCGTATTTGATCAAGTATCCAAGCGTATCATATGATACGCGATATGTATCTTACGGTATGTGGGCGTATTGTATGATATAGTCGATACATTTTTTATAAGCTTATATTTAATTAATTATTAAAAATTTTAATTTTTTATTATTTTTTTGAATTGGAACATGAAAATTTATATTTTATGAGATTTAATTTTTAGATTTTAAACCAAAAAATACTACAAAAATTGAATTCCTTTAAATTTTAGCTTGATAAATGTTTTTTAATTTTTAATTAATAAATTAATATGATAAATTGTATATTTTATTTAAAAATCTATATTAATAAAGAATATCTTAAAAGTTTAAATTAAAAAAATAATTATCGTTTCAATTTATGTCTTATAATGTTTATTTTTGTTAAAAAAATTATATTTTTTATTTTTTTTCTTTATTTTATATATATAAATATTATTTATAATTATTTTTAAAATTTTTTATTGTATCTTGCAATACAATACGACACTCATTACTTGATACTAAAAAATAAGATTTCAATACACGATATGTATCTCGATTTAATTACTATGGTATTTACTATAGTGGTGTCGTGTATCGTCTTATATCTTTTGTATATTCTAGTCAGTTCCTTACCACTCAGCTTGAGGAAAAATTGTGATGGTGTCTTTTGTTATTATTTATATTTTCTTATTTTGTTATTATATTAAACCTTAATACAAACTTTTCAATCAGGTCATTGGAAAAGCACTTGTCCTTGATGAGATAATTAATTATATCCAGTCGCTGCAGCGGCAGGTTGAGGTATGTATCTTACACATCTTTCTGTCTTGGTGTACCAATTTCTGAGTTTTTAGGCTATCCATTCAAGCCTTAACCTAATATAGTGCAATGTTGTAGTTCCTGTCAATGAAGCTAGAAGCAGTTAATTCAAGGATGAACATGAGTCCTAGCATCGAAGGCTTTCATTCGAAGGATGTAAGTCTGCTTAAGTTGATTGATCACTTAATATTTTTGTCATCATATGAGCTATTAGCATGAATAGCATCAAATTAAAGTCTGATGTGAGTCAAAAACTGCTGCTTCATTTTGGGATCACTCTAGATACTTATCAGAAGCCATTATAGTGCTTCATGACATAAAATTCAGATGGTAAATTCGATTGCTGATTAAAATAAGACCAAGTGTTCAACTTTGCATTGATGTAGTTCAAGTTACTTGTCCTACTGTAGATTGAATAACTAAGGTCCTCCATCACTGGTTTTATGCATATATTCTGAAATACCAGATTTGATTTTTTTTTTTGGGGAGTGAGGGAGGGCGGTTGTTAAAAAATCTGAATATTTCAGTGTGAAGCAATTTACAACCAAGCCTGAAAGCTTAAATCTTTTTTATTTTTTTCTTTTTTTATTTAAGGAAGGGGGGATTGGAACCCAACGCTATGAGCAGAAGGATAGATGCACCTACCATTGAGTCAGATGCTTAGGTGTGCCTGAAAGCTTAAATTCTATTAAAATGTAATTGAAATCTGTTATCCCGAAGAGTCATATTCAAAACTTATTCTTTGTAAATTTTCTCTATTGGATTCAGCCATGTGAGTAATAACTACAATGTTAAGGGTCTTCCATCTTCTGGATCCTACCACTGTAAGAAATATAGAGAAAACTAGTAAGCTTAAATTAGGCACTTAATAGTCTCTTTTGAACTCTTCAACTTTAAAAAGGGAAGACTCTGATAGTCATGTTTCCTCTAACATAGGCACCAAGCAAGAAGATTCTTGAAGTTACTGCTCCCTGCAAGCCAAAGTTATCTTTGGAATCTGATCCTAGTTTTTCAACCAACAAATCAGTTATGATTTCCTAAATTCAT